ACATTACAAACATTTGACACACAAGGAAGGTGGATTACGCTGTTGCAGACACTTAAATGCACTCAAATGTGTGGTTGTAGTGGCATAAACATGCATATACCGGTGTTGTATTTGTTTTTCTTTTTGTTGCTCAGCTTTTCTGACAGGCATATGAAACAGACGTGCACAGCACAGAATTAAAAAAAGCATGTATTTAAAACCTTAAATTGTGTGTTCTATACAACTTTCTACGCTATTTATTTGCAGAGATTATAATGCATTTGTACATGTACGCATTTATTTCAAATGTATGACTACATACCATTAACTTGATTAAATATTCTTGAGTATTCAATAATTCGAAGCTTATCTACTTTACTCTGACATATATAGTCGATGAGCCAACTATTGTTTTATTAGTCTAGGTATTTAATTGAACTGCTTAAATGCAAAGCACACTCTTCAATGTTATTGCATCATTAAATAAGCGTGCGTGAAAATTTTACTCTTCGATTTGCATTTGCGAGGGAAATATACATTAAGATAATACTATATTTATATTAATGCGGGTAGATATTATAAAATATTATGAACATATTTTTTTTTTTAATTTCCTTAATCTTTATTTGAGATCTGTTCTATGTTGAACAATTATTAAATTTTTAAATCATGTCTACTGCCTGCTCAAGGATCGATCGATCACATTGTGGGATTCCTGCCAGGCCTCAGGAAAATAGTGATATCTATCTAGGTGGAGATAACATTTCTTAATTGTTAGAAAGAATACTTTGGAAGCGGCTGACTTTACGCAATTTATTTGGACAGTGACTGTCTTTATTGCTTTCAAATCCTTGGGGCCAAAAGTAAATTTAAAATTGTTGAAACGCAATTGCAATATAATTATCTGCAACAATGACAATTACTGTCGTTTCAATGAATAGCTTAATCTAATAGTGTATTTTAGTCTCACATATATTTTAATTATTAAGATTGAACTCGATTAGTTAGAAGCCTTGCAATTTTGCTTTAAATAATCGCACAAAGACACGCCACTCGCAAATTACAGAGGACGGCCTAGTGCTGCTATACTTTTACAGCAATTGCAATAAAATGGCGCCATTTGTTCACACAAATGAAGCACATGGCGCCTGCGGCAAACCATAAAGTTGGAAATGCTTGCAATTATTGAACTAAACGATGCGCTTAATTGCACAATGTACATTAATGCGCCATTACAGTACAAATGCATGAGAAGCGTTTCAATTAAAGTGCCATAAATAGCGAAACGGCGATGGCTGTCAGTTAATGTCACAGCCATTGCCCTCAGAGTAATAGACTTGCCGGCACACACATTCAGCGTGTTGGGTGTATTTTGTCACTTCTATGACATAATGCACTCCCACACCACAACGCACAGACACACACACACACACAAAAGCACACATACACAGACAAACAGAAACTAGCGATGCAGCAGAGCAGGACATTAAAGTCAATTGCAAGCCATGTGAGTGTTAGCGATGTCGCCGTTTGATAATGATTGCATGTCAACCAACACACACACACTCATACACACACATACACACACACAAATATATGTATATATACATGGAAAGCCGCGCAGCTTGGCCTACCTATGCATGCCAGATGAAGTGAGAATTGCATTTTCTGGCATTGATTGCCAGATGATGGATGGAATGGACAATGTGCCCGGCACTGGCAATTTGTTTGCGCTTAAATGGCTACGAGCATGGATTTGGCAGCGCGCTGCCAAAAAGTTTCTGCAACATGCGCTCAATTTAAAATTAATATTTTTATAAATATTCAGCAGCACCCGCTGTTTATTGCTGTTTCTTTTTTCTGCGACCACAGCTGTGGCGATTTAAATGGTGGGCCGGAAATTAGCACAATTTCAGTACAGAGCTTATTTATAAAACTGCAATATCCAATTATCAAATGGCCATTGAACTGAACTAAAATGTCAGTGCCAGAAATCTGTTGCGCTGATTGATGGTCGTCCTGTTTGCGGATGACCGATGTGCGTTCTGCGGAAGCTGAAAATTGCATTGCATTTTCATTTGGCCTATTAATTAGCGATTCCATTAGTGTGGCGCCCATGGTGTAAATTGATTTTTAATTAAATTGCGTGTAATTTTTGCAATTTCTCGAGCTACCGTCATGCACGACAACGCACACATACACAAACATACACACACATACTTGTAAGTACATCCACATACTTCCACAGGTATGCGCGACACCATCTCCCCTATTTGTAATGTAATTAATGAGTTTTTAGTTCAAAATAAATTTATATATGATAATGACTTGGGGGTAACATGTGCCTCGCATTTTCAATGAATTAAAGAATAACAACGTGCCCAGAAATTCACACACACTCACGATTTCGAGCTCATTAAATGCTTTACATGTACACAATCCGCTGCTGTCAAGACTGCACAGAGGTCGTCTGTATTTACACACACACACACACATATATATATATATACACAAACGTACACACTTACCAGATCTGTAATTTATGCAAATGTCTGTATATAAATATTTACGTATGTATGAGTTAAAAAGCTGTTGGGTGCCTCATCAATTCGCCATTGGCGAAAAGAAAAAGTTAAAGGGCGTTTAATACGTATAGTATGTGTACATACAAACAGGAATGGAATGCTAGAGCTCAGCATGCCAAACTTTTAGATACCCTCTACACACACAAAAATTATAAATTTATTTGTCTCAATTTAATTAATTAAATGAAAAAACAAGAAAGGAATGCTAAAGTCGAGCAGGCTCAACTCTTAAATACCCTGTACCACCCCACAAAAAAATAAATAAATCTAATTTAATTAATTAAATTAATCGGGAAAAATGAAAAAACTCGTCCTTTCTCTGACTCAGGAGAATCTGTATACCAAGTTTGGTTATTCTAGCTCTTATACTTTCTGAGATCCTTGCGTTCATACAGACAGACAGACAGACGGACATGGCTATATCGACTCGGCTTGTCATGCTGATCAAGAATATATATGTATACTTTGTGGGGTCTGCCACGCCTCCTTCTGTGTGTTACATTTACATTCGCACAAAACTGATAGTATACATGCATTCTCACTTAACTAATAACACCGTTTGGGTGCAGGGTATGCAAGCTGAGGCGATATGCTCACTCCTACTACAATAAACAGAAAAAATGACTCGTATGTAGATTAGAAGATTGTTGAGCGTCCTCCTTGTTACACATTTTAAAAGTTGCGTACAATTATTAAAATTTCAGTGAAAATGCATAAAGATGTTAAACTTTATATTCATTTCAGGGACTTTATTCGTGGAAAACCAAGATTTTTTGAAGCTTGCAGTTTACTTAAATTTAGTCAATATATAGACATATATAACACAATTTGTGTGTTTTAAGAAAACTTGAACACTACAAACACTTCCCAAATAACATCCACACTTTTATTTTAATTATAATCCTCTACCTTGCTTTAAGTGCAGCGGAATTTGTATAAACCTTATATTTAAATTGCCTTTCAAATTTGAACAGATTTGTATTTATTACAAATTGAAAAAATTAAAAAGGTTAGCATTTGTAAATTTGGATAAAACACAGAATTGAGGCCAGAAGCTTTTATTGTAAAACATTATAGAACCTAATGAAATTAAATTAAATTTCAAGTATTCAACAATTTTCCAATCATTGAATTTTAGCGCAGTAATTGTGAATTACGAAACTTTTATTTCGTATAAAATTGAAATCGATTTTGATGGAAGCAATATTTTAAGTAAATTACTGGAAAACAAATCACGGTCTCTCTTCAATTGCCAAGTCAGCGCATTTGGTATTCAGCTGCTTTAAATGCTTGCAGTTTCAGAAACAAATGTTTGTATTCAACTATTAAGTGTAATAATAGAATTTTGAAACTTTTGGGGACCCTAAAGATTTATTCTATATCTGCCAAATAAACACACTGGCTTAGACTTCATTCCAGTTAACTCTAGATTTATCGAACGAATTTGTTTGTATTTCAAATAAATAATAATTTGTTGAATACGTAGGCATGAGATATGACTACAAGCTGAAGCTTGCTTTGTAGTAACCAATCAAAACTGTAATTCCAACAATTTGGCCTTATTTTCTGTAAAGTACATATATCCACGAAAAGTTCGTTACAATGGCTGGAGCTTTAAATTTGAGTAGCATATTCGTTGCCTCTGGCAAAATCATTGACTGCGCCATAATTACGACTTAATTCGACTTTATTTGGCGGTGCAATGAGGCGCGAGATTCCTTGGCTCAGCACAAGCCACGGTACGTTAAATCTCTGTCTAGGATTAGGCGTGACTTTTGCTCGCGATTACAAAAATAAAAGCAAATTAAGCAAACAGCTGCCGCGGGCTCAACTCATTTGTACATACAATACGAAATGTAGGCATGCATATATATTTTTTGTACATGCCATCTACTATACTAGACTATATATTTGTGTGTATGTATGTTGGTATGTGTGTAAGCCACAGATACATCAATGCAGTGAACGCCAAGATTTGAACTTTCAGCGTTTGTTTGTGTGTTGATTTGTGTATACATTAGAAACGGCATGATTAATCAAATAAATATACTTAATGAAAACCAAGAAGCCAGTTGGAAAGATACACGCACTGAGCAAAATAAATAATATAGGGGAGAGACGAGAGAGAGAGAGAGATAATAGAGAGTAAGAGCGGTAGCAAGGAAGTGTGATAAGCACAAAAGCTTTTTGTTATCTTATCAATAATACGTATGAATGCACACACACAGCCACGTTTCTGCTCAATAATTTTCAAACGATTCCGACCAGTTGGCATACAACAAATGCCAGATGAATTAACTGGAATGGCTGGGCATGGTGGTGTGGGTTACTGACTTTCCATTGCGATAAGATATGGAAGTTTGCGGGCCGATCGACTTACGACTCATGTCTGTGGTATAGTCAGCGCCATGCCGATGTCTGAACAGTGTGTCATCAAACGCCTGGGAGTGGCAACAACCCAAAGGTAACCAAAGCTAGTGAGAATGATTAGCGTGCAGCGTCTGAACTTTGTCTTATGGCTCTTGCTTTCGGTCTCCTTTCTCGGTGAAACTGTGCGGGGCGAGAATATAGATGCTGAGGAGGTAGATCGTTTTTGTTATCCGGATTTGTTGCGCAACTCGCGACTCTCGTGCGAGTGCAGCAGCGTAAATGCCGCGCCATGGGGCATGCGAGCCCTGCATATCGATTGCAGCTACAAGGATTACAAGTCGAAGGATTTATCGGAGCTGTTGCCGCTCTATATAGACAGTCTGGATCTGTCCTGGAACACACTGGATCTTGTGCCCCAATTCAGCAGTGATACCCTACGGCAGCTCAATCTTATGCACAACAACATAAGCGGCATAACGTCAAACAACTTTGCCCAGCTGGGCAGTCTGCAAGAGCTGCATCTTAGTTGGAACAGCATTCAGTGGCTGGCAGCGCAGGCCTTTGCCAATCTCCCCCACTTGCAGGTGCTGGATCTAGGCCATAATAATTTGCAAGTGCTGCCAGCGCAAATATTTGCTCCACTCCTGGTGCTCACGACACTCGACTTGGCCTGGAACAGGCAGCTCAATCAGACAGTGGAGCTGCAGGCGAAAGACTGGTACAATAGCTATGGCATTAACAATAAACTGGGCACTTTGCGCCTGGACGCCTGCAACCTGAGCACGCTGGTGCTGCCGACGGCAGCGCCCCTAAAGCATTTAAGTTTGCGACGCAATCGGTTTACGCGTGTACCTCCCCAGCTGCCCGCAACTCTCCAGCAACTGGACATGAGCGACAATCTACTGGAGATATTGCTTCCCACAGATTTGGGAAATCTAACACAGCTCCAGCAGCTCACTATGGAGGACATGCCTGTGCTGGAAAGCATTGCCGCCAATGCGCTACAGTCGCTCGATATGCTGGAGGTGGTTAGTCTACAAAACAGCCGCCGACTCAGCTCCATTAATGACGTGGCCTTTGGATCGAACAAATCGTATTGGCCGCCATTGCGGCGGCTTATTTTTCGTGGCACTATGCTGCGTACTTTTAATGCCACCCTATATCCGTTATTTGCACAACTTGACGAACTGGACCTCAACGGCTTGCCCCTGCATTGTTACTGCGAACTAGTGTGGCTGAAAGATCTGACCATCGAGACTAATGGTCGATGCTATAAGCCATCGAGTGTTCGCGGCATGCTCGTGAGCTCAGTGCGCCGTGATTATTTCAAATGCGATAGCTGGCCCCGTTGGCTTTACGGATTAATGGTATTGGGTCTCATTTCCCTAATGGCCGCAGGCGCGTACCTAGTCGTTATGGGACTGCGACCTCATCGGGGCGTTACAATGCGTCGCAAAGTGGGCGCTGGCAGCCCCTATGCCCGGGTAACCATCGAGCCCAATCGACAGGAGAACAACTTTTCAGCCGTAGACTAAGTAATAGATTTAATAAAGAATCAAGCTGTATATTGGATAAGTAAGCCCGATCCCTTCCAGTACATTCATGGATAAAAGCGAAAAACATTTCATTTTTTGCTATTCATGCTTATAGTGCCTATAAATGATCATACCATTGTATAAATTATTAATCTGTCTGTACGGTATTTGTTTCTACCAATACTTCATCCATAGCAATGGAACCACTTCTTTAAATAGAAATATGTATATAAGTCGCGCATTACCTATTCCATATACATAACTGTCATGGAAACTGTAGGTCCTAAGTCAATAAACTAATACTATGCTTTGTAATCAGAATTTTATTTAGTTATATAAAATAATACAAGTATATATAGCTGAAGCCAAGAAAGATGACCTTGCCAAAAGCCTAAAATTAATTCATTTTATTTGAAGAACTGACAGTAGAATGAATTGAATTAAATTTAAATTCAAGCTCAATTTACTTTTAAACTCAATGCAATTGACTTTTTAAACATTTGTATGGTTTTACAATGTTCTATAGTAGAAAACGTTGTTTGTGGCTGTTTACATAAATAAATGTGAAAGTTTTTTATATCGCTACCAGCTAAGGTATTATCGATGCCTGTGCGCTTATCTACTCCGTCAAATACATTTCTACAAGTATATACATGTACATATGTACTATTTACTGTGCATGTGTGTGCGTAAGCTTGTAGGGAATACCACGTAAACAAAGTTTCTTGCAACTGCGTTTTATTGCGTTGTTAAAATACCCATGGATTTAAAAAATTAGTTACACAATGCAGGGCTGACTCGACTGTACGGTTCAAAGTGTCCGATTGGCAGCTGCCTTTGAGTGCATGCCCTCCTCATTGTACTTGAGCTTGATGCGGAGTCTGGGTATTGCCAGGTGGTCCACAACATTTACATCGTACGCCTCGTGGAGGGCGCACAAGTTGGGGAACTTTGGATTGACGCCCATCTTGCAGCCACTCGCAGGTTTCGTGGCCACCCCATAGACCGGTTCCCGGCCAATATTCTCGCGCGCAAAGTTGCAGACAATGAACTGTTTATGCCAGCGATGGCGATGCACATGACGCAATATTCCACAACCTATGTGTGTGGCCCGCTCCTGCATAAGCTGGCGGAAGCTAGTGATATCCGGGCCCCCTTCGACGGCATTGAGTTGGCTATTGGCACGCTTGTATTGCCTGAACCAATTGCCAAGCTTGTGCTCGAGCAGCTGAATGTCACTGTAACGCTTGGTGCTGAAGATCACGTGGCCCAGTATTTGGCCCACATGCTTAAAGCGTCTGGTGTTCCGACATTCATCCGGCTGCCGTGGACACTGCTTAACCGCCAGCTCGGCGAGTGTCGCCAACTCGGGATCCCATTGAACGCTGGCCATGCGATGCGCTGCCGCAAAACCTGAAAAGTTTCCAGACGCCACCTTGTTGCGATAGAAGTTGATTTTGTGCAAAATGAAATTGCGCAGCTGTACATTCAGGGGCCGTAGCTCGGCCTCTTTACTGCAACTGCGCCCATAACTCTACAATGAACCAGACCCGACATTTGTTGGTGGATGAGCCAGCCATCCTCTGACACGTTCATTACGTACCCCATTGTTGTTGCAGGCAATGTGACTGCGCGCCTCCTTGCACCAATGCTCGCTGCAGTAGTTCCAAGCCACAGAGGGAGCCAATAAATTGGCCAAAATGCACAGAGCGGAGAGAGTGTAGAGCCAACAAGACATGCTAACTGTATAAATGCTTCGCAGCCACTGCCCCACACGGCTTCAAATTAGTCGTCGCCATGCAACAAATCGCAATGCCATGCCTTTCAGAGATGCAAGCTGTGACGAGCCCTACGACTTTGTTGACTCTGCCACAATCCAAGCTGAGAGTGCTAAGCTGTCTTAACAAGTTGGCAATTGCAGTTGTTCTAAAGCTCTTATTATCATCGCTTTTACCTGTCACCATAGTGTTCTTTATCGACTTCCAGTATTCAGAAATGTATCTTAGCATTACATATATTTTAGATAAACACTATTATAAATTTGTTAAGAAATCACTTCACTACACCATTTATAGTTCATACAGCTCATGGTGTATCTGTATTTAGAAATCGCCGTAAACGTTAAGAGTGTCGATGTCTTTCGGATTCGAATCTTTCTCTCAAAACAAAATCTAGACAAATTCTATAACTTTTAATATAAATAAATAAATGCAAAGGAGGTAGTAGATCAAGCCTTTTGGTCCATAATTTATGGTTGACGACAAATGTGAACACTATGAAATCCGAGCATTAATCATCGTAACTTTCTACAAAGAAGCAGATTTCTCTCCAAGTAATATATTGCCACAGCTTTGTCTGACTTCTAACTAAATATTAATTATGAGAAAGAGCTCGGGCTAATTTCAAATATCTGAGTTATTCCTACAATTATTATATTATGCAAAAAGTGGAAATTGGAAGAATAATAAACTTTTGTGCTGAGCAAATAATTAAATAATTATCATAAATTATGATATGCACTATATTACGAGAATATATTATTTTATATTTAGAAGTATTTTAATTTTAATGTATTAAGTTGATTATACTTCTTTATTTTTTATTGCATTTTCTTCCTCTGCATTTCTCTTTTGTTAGGTCAAATAATGTCTCCGACTAGTCTCTGCTGTGAATCGGCGCATAGCTAGCCGTTTGGGAAATTAAACTCTCCTATCAAGTCAGTTTCGTTAGATAATTTTGTTTTTTGTATAGGCTTTTTTATTTCTTAAGTTTTATTTCTCTGCCTATAATGTGTCAGAAAAAGTACTTTGTCCATACTATTTATGTACAGGGAGCGCCATCTTTTATGTCGGTATGTAAACATTGAAAATCTTTGAAAATAAACAACCGATTTTCAAGTATGAGATATTTTTATTGAATTTGATTCTGTACAATTTCTTGAACTGAGGTTTTCAACACTGGTCTACTCAAGTCAATCGGTTCACTAATGACAAAGTTATTCTATATTTACATACCGACAAAAAAGTTGGCGCACCCTGTATATGACTGCTTTATAATTTAGTGACATGGTTGTTCATGGAATATTATCTAACAGTGAAAGTCCCGATTTCTATTAGTCTCGCCGTGTGGTCTACCATTATTTTTGAGAAGCAATAAGGTTCCACACCACAAGCAATATTTTTTATTTATTTATTTAATGCTAGCTTAAAGTTGAAAAACAAGAAATCTACTTTAGGATTTTCAAGAAAGTTCTAGGCCATATTTCCTTCCATATATAATAGAATTATTCTATAAAAGGTTTATACGAAGGATATTTCCATGGAGGCTTATAATAGTATGATGTTATATTTGGTTTTTCAAAATTAAATACTACACCCATCCGTCCAATTTAGTGTCGAATAGACGAATTTGAATACGTCGATTCATTTCATGTTGCTGATCCTCGGTTTTCTTATTCGGAGCGTTGCAAATTTCCAAACACCTTAAGTTGGATAATTCGATTCGTACAATGCATGAAATAGGCTAAGGTTAGGGGTAAATTATTACTGTAGTTCCTATACTCTGATTGAAGCTGCAGCAATGATACGCTTCATAATATTGCTTTTCTGTTTAGTGAATGGCCAGGACGAGGTCGACGTCGATTATTGCGATATTCCGTGTAGAAATAACACTGAGCACTTGGGTTGCAACAATTATGGCGTAGGTTTTTTTCATTTTGTACATGTGTGCGTAAAGCTAACAATAATAAAAACCGGTCAATTATAGGCTTTTTCGACGGACTGTGGGGAAAATGCCAATCTTGTGCCTATGACTAGGAACCTGAGGCAATTCATCCTTCGAGAGCATAATTCTCTTCGTAGTGCGGTGGCTAGTGGTAAGTTGAAGGGCTTTCCACCGGCATCACGGATGCTGACATTGCAGTGGGACGGTGAATTGGAATTGATGGCCGAGTATCTTGTGAAGCGTTGCGTCTTGGAGAGAAACAGAATGTGCATTGCCACAAGTCGGTTTAAGGGGCCGGGCGTCAATGGTGTTTACAACATACTCGCCTCTTCCCAAGATGTGATAAAAGTCATCAAATCTCAGATTGATGCTTGGTACGATCAATATCGATATACGTCCATTAACACTTTATTAACCGGCAGAGGAGAGGGTGGGTAAGTATTTGTACGATTTGGTCCATTTTTTTCGTGTTCCCATTGATTTCGTATATTGCAGACATGAAGTTCAGAACTTTCTTCAAATGATGTTATCTTACAACAGTCGCATTGGCTGTGCTATTTCCCAATACCACGCCGATAAATTAATTCAGTTAATGTATTGTGTATACAGTTGTAAACGAACATCTTGCAAGCCCGTCTACGAAATCTCACAATATCCGTCAGCTGGATGTCGTAGGGGTACAAATCAAAAATACAAAAACCTGTGCGACGCCAGAGAAGATACCGACGAGTGTGATCATTGTAACAGCAATAGTCCATATAGTCTACTTGAGAAAGCCTTTGACTTTGAGACGGATGAGGACGATGTTGACATCGAATTGGGAACACTGAAGCCGGATGGCGTGCAACCAAGTGGCAAAAAGGACCGACTGGGCAACTTGGTGGACTTGATTAAAGATACAATTGTAACCGGAGTTGAGGCCGTTGGCTCAATTATTGTACGTTGAATATGCCGGATTTGAATACTTTTTTGTTTTTGTGTTCTTGTGAGTTTGCCAAAACATATTCTTTTCTCTACTCTACATATCATATTACTGTTATAGAAACGACACGGCCCATCGCCATGGAGAAATAAAGTTGTGTTGTAAGGCACAGAACTAGTTTGTGCTTTTTAAAGTGAGTTTTCGCAAAATTTGTCAGTGATGGGATATAATGTACATACTATATAATATACTTGTAATATAATGCTATAGTATGTGTAATTAAAAATGTAGCCGGGAGATAAAAAAAGTAACAAAATCGAACCACTGCAACTCCAAGTTGAAGAAAAAAGAGAAGTCAAAATTGTGTAGAATTTTATTTTAGATACACAAGAAAGCATAAGATGTATCGTAACGTGTAACAATGATAGGATGAATGATGCCGTAGTTTAAGCGGAGCAAGGATCTAACTTATATAGTATAGTACTTCTTGTACTATTATGGCATAAAACATGATCCAAGAGGAACAAGATGCGCTGAGAACCATACGTGGTCAGTAGAATTATAATCAATGAAGGTACATGAAGGCATCAAGCATCAGGTTTGGTCCAAATCTTATACTATCCAATACTATATGCTTCTGACACTGATCTTAGCAGCATTATTTCGTGTTTATTACATTGTGCCGCAGTCATACGGATTTGTATTGAAGGACGCAGAAGTGACTTTAACTCATTGATACTGTGTTGTGGTGGCATATCAAATGATGATGATAAATTGATGGATATATCCAACAAGCAGCCCAGATAGGAAAAGCTCAAAAGTCAGACCGTCCAATAGCTCCTCCCGATTATTATGAATATGTCTGCCAGTTGAAGACACATACCAATGCCAGACCTCCTTCTGTGTGTTAAATATATTCGCACTAAACGAAATTATACAGCCGTCGCTATTCGAGAAAGTTCATTTGGAAAGTACTGATCTAAAATGCAGCGTAACATCCGATTATTCACAACGAATAGCATTAATGAGAAATTGGCCGTGATAATCGACAGTAAATACATATTTGTCGCATTTTCGAAATCCCAGAGCACTCTGGTGCAAAATGTGGTTGCGAGTGTTGTTGCTACACATCGTTTTATTGGGATCTGTAGTTTCCCAGGGAGAGAGGGACGCAAATGCGATTGAGAACTCCAAAGAATCGGGTGAGAGCATTTCGGTGGAACTTTATAACGCGACAAATTACTGCGATCCGTCATTGTGCGAAGGCCATCCGCATGTAGCCTGTAATGCAGAGCTTTACAATTATGGATCCAAATGTGAAATCAGCGCCCAATTGCTGAATTTGAAACGCGACACTGAACAGTTCATTGTGGATAAACTAAACGAGTTTCGTAATCAAGTGGCTCGCGGAGGCTTTCAAGGATTTTTGCCAGCCAGCCACATGCCAGCTTTAAGCTGGGACAAGGAACTGGCGTACTTAGCGCGACTGAATGTGCAGAAGTGCAGCTTAGTTTTCGATAAATGCCGAAATACGATGTCCTCTAGGGATGTGGGCCAGTCCATTGCCTATAAGGGGCTCAAGGGTAATTTACCATTGTTGGAAGACATCATTTCGGATCAGCTGCTCATGTGGTTTAATGAGAACAGTGGCGCCTCAATGATGGACATTTTAAAATATAGGGGTCACAACGTTGGGTAAGACCAAGCGAAAGTATGATTCTAATATATACCTTCAACTAATTTATACCAACTTACAGAAAGCCAAAAGATAACTTCCTACAAATGATTCTGCAGGATAACGAAAAGGTGGGCTGTGCAGTGCTACAGCAATCGAAAAACGATTGGATGCAAACCTATATCACTTGCAACTACGACCATTCTCCAGTTGCCAACAAGCCCATATATGAGACCAGTCCAACTGCCGCAGACCATTGCCCGGACGGCCAAAGCCGCAAATTCCAGTTCCTTTGCAGCACCCTGGATAATGAAAAGGAAGAAAGTCCATATGCTATGGTAGATAATTTTAGCAGCGATAGCTCTGAAGATGAATCCAAGAAACAAAAAAAAAAGTCAGCAAAGAGTCGAACTCATAAAGACGGAGTTGTGCATGAAGTGACAACTTTGAAGAAAAACAAGATTTTTAGAGTCAAGGGAAACACGTTGAAACGTAAATTTGGAAATTTTTTAAGGTATTTAAACAAGGCAAAGAAAAAGACTGAAAACACCCATGTCGTGATACTGACCAGCAATCATGAAGTGGACGATGGAAAAAATCAGAATGAGGAAGCCCAAGCAGCCAAAGTACTTGCAAGGAGGACTCGACTAATGCAGAAGTCACTGAGATCACAAGCCCGTCGAATCCGGAATCGCGGCATAATGAGCCGGACTATGAAACACAGTAGAATGATCAAACAAACTGCACGATCTAGATCCGGGCTGGCCAGATCCCGGATTGGCAATGGGCATGCTATTTGGCGTACCCTCAAATAATAATGTAATTTATTTTTTAACACCACTTCATTTCAAAATGTATGCTTGGTGACAAAGAAGGGGCTCTTCTTTAATAAATAGTACATGCGAGTCCATACAACGGCTGTGTGTTGGATATTATGTTAGTTTTCTGGAAATGTTTAATTATGAAAAGCTCTGATTCGAAGAGCTCGAGCTCAGCCCCTTCAACGAAACATTGGCTGGAGCTAAAGTATTTTAAATACCGTTTCGATTCTATTTTCGTTGGAACTCTTTATTTTCGCTGTGAAGAATTAACTTCAATTTGTTCAAAAGTAATAGCGGGCTACTCCAAAGTTTGAAACTCTTTGTTCTCTTCGGCAATTTAAATACAGCACCAATATACACAAGCCTATCTGTATTTATAAATGAAAAAGCCCACTCACAATGCAATTTGGACTTAGGCTCTTCTTAAACAAAAAAGTGTTTATCAATTATACAAGTACGAGGTATGTTCAAGAAAAAAAAGTATAAGGTTTTTCTCACTGTTTTCTTTTATTATACTGGCGTGGTGTATCATGAATTGAGAAGTGCTTCTAGAATTATAAGCGCTGGGGGATTTACTTTGAAGTTGTCCCCTTCATGGATTTTAACAAAAAATCTTTTCAACAGTCCATGTATTTTAGAATTCTCTGTTCTCCTCGATAACTTAAATACTCAGAAGGTATAGTGTGCAAACAAAAAATTCCACTACATATCTGAAACCTGCAACCAAAAACCAATAAACAAAACGTTTTCTTTCCTTCAGTCTTCTGTAGCCCTAGTTTATTTGCGCTGTCTGTTACTAAGTATCTTCTATTGTTGGTCACATCAGTCGGATTTCTCTGCCCGATGACATATGAACAACTTCATCGGGTGTTTGGTCGCCACATTCCCGTATTGATGCCCCGCTCCCAGTCCATCAACTTGTCTAGCACTTATAAAGTTTCTTGTCGTTTTCGTTGTGGGTTTGCCAATAATTCACTTCAACCGAGCTATCGATTTGCACCGACTCCGCCTCGTCGTGCCATTTGGCCTGATACTCTATTGCCACTCCATGACCTTTAAATTGCAGCGCCTGCTTGATTTTCAGCATGCTTTGGCTTTGTTATCGCCCAGTTGTGTGTCGGACATATTTCTTTTTCTGCTTTCCTTTTTGCTTTCTCTTTCACATTCTAATGTTCTTTCTTTTGGTTTGTTTTCGGCGACTGATTTATTGATGATGTCTGCAGCAATTGATTTTAGTGCATTGCTGTGCTCACGACTTTTCTATGAAAGTATAGTAGCATCTTTTTGTTTTGCATTGCATTGGTTAATATTAATAACATATAAACAGTACTGTAATATAGTATACATGCAGTATTTAATTAAACATTAAGTTGGTTAGCATGACATAGCATTGAACCTAAAATTGTGAGGCTGAACTTAGATCACTACTCTTTCCAAAGTCTGAGGGACTCTTTGGTCGAGACCATTTGATAACACTACATCGTTAAGCTTTCATACAAACCAGATTTACAAAAAGTCTCTGGATCAAACATTTGCTTAGTTGATCCTGTTGTCCTACTACACGAAAAGCAAAATAAGTATAAAAAAATAGACGTACTATTTACATTTATAAATTAGAATAAATCATGTATGTATGTAAATTTCTGAAATATTAAATTACAATATTTTGAAATTAAATTGTGAAATTTCTAAAAAATTAAATAACAAATTTATGGATTTAAGTTGTGAGATTGCTTTAAAATTAAATACAATTATTGTGGACGCCCTCCTCTGCGATTCTCCTAAGTGCAGGCAAATCGAGAATTAAATTGTGAAATTTCTAAAAAATTTAATATAAATATTAAATAATAATATTGGGAAATTAAATTGTGAAATTAGTGAAAAATTAAATCAAAATATTGTGGGCGCCCTCGTCTGCGATTCTCATACCAAGTCACTAAGCGCTAGCAAATCGAGAATTAAATTGTGAAATTTCTAAAAAATTAAATAACAAATTTATGGATTTAAGTTGTGAGATTGCTTTAAAATTAAATACAATTATTGTGGACGCCCTCCTCTGCGATTCTCCTAAGTGCAGGCAAATCGAGAATTAAATTGTGAAATTTCTAAAAAATTTAATATAAATATTAAATAATAATATTGGGAAATTAAATTGTGAAATTTTTGGAAAATTAAATCAAAATATTGTGGGCGCCTTCCTCTGCGATACTCATACCAAGTGTCTAAGCGATGGCAAATCGAGAATTGCATTGTGAAATTTCTGATAAATTTAATAATAATATTGGGAAATTAAATTGTAGAGTTTGTGAAAAATTAAAAACCAATATTATGGGCGCCCTCCTCTGCGATTCTCATACCAAGTACCTAAGCGCTGGCCAATCAAGAATTAAATTGAAAAAATTCTAAAATATTAAATAATAATATTGTGATTTAAAATGTGAAATTTCTAAAAAATAAATTCGAATTTGCCAAAACCGCTTCCTAGTGCCCACTTTCACTGTGAAAGGAAACTGGCGTCCACATTTCAGCTTTCAAGCTTTTATCGTTTGGATCTAATACATTTATGCGTGAATCGCCAATCAGGAGAAAATGTTTAATATATAGAGAAAGAATAACCATATGCTTAAAGCTTACGTGTTTTATGTAGTTTTCGTTCATCACCTTTAAATATTTGAATGTCTGACGTGCACCGGATTTTTTGCTGGAAAATTTTTCAACAAAAACTGTTCTACTGTATGGCACAATAATTGCTTATTCATTGGCACATGTAAAATTATTCAGCCATTGCAATGGCAAAATATCCCTTTTTCAATTGCATTCACTTCACAAAAACAATATGGCCAGAGTTCTTATTAATACATTGAAAGTCGATATTATGGCTATAAATTCATCAAGCTGGTCAATGGGGGCGCCAATGCGTGTCGTGCTCCAATTATGGCCAGATGGAAAGATTTACGAGCGCCAGAGTGGAATGCGTACATGCATAAATAATTCTTATGACAATATAAGCGGCAACAATGAGTTTTGAGTATTTTTGTACGTTTTTACTCTCCGTCCTGCTATGTTGCAATTGTTTTTCCACACAACCACCAGCACAGCTTAGTCAAATTACCAGTTTGGATCTAATTTGTTATTTGTAGAATTTAACAAGCCATGTTTCAAAACACTTTTGAACTTGTTACTTTTTCGTGGCAGCATTTGACATTTTAGTGTCGGATTTTGATGCGATTTTAAGTCGCCTGCAATCCAAACTAAGCATATAGTTGTTCGACTAGCTGCTAGCCACTTTTATGACTGCCCAATGGGTCCTTGTGTGTGTGGGTGAGTGTGTGTGTGCCTTGATTGTTCCGCCCTGGTTGTTTACTCCGAAATTGTTATACAGTGGGCAAAGTACCTGCAAAACATATGCTGCTCATAAAATTTATGTAAATTCCATATGGAATTGAATATCGCATTAAGGGTTAACAAGTTCAGAAGCGCTACGATCATGGTGCGTATGAGTAATGTCTGTGAAGTCATAAGAAAATATGTACGCGACATTCATCCAGCATACAAGCCATTTTCTATAGAGCCGCGAGTGCACAAATAGAAGAAGTTGTCAAACAAATATTTACAAGTAATTTGCATTACATTACTCTTACACACCCACACGTATCCCCTGAATATTGCATATTAATTCTGAAGTATTCTGAAGCATTATGCTGCCTTAGAGCCTGTGTCACATCATTGTCGCACACTCACGACGTCTGCGCAGAAGGCGTCTGTGCCAGTGCCCCAGTCAGCGGACACGAGTTGCATGCCCAACACACGACTCCGACTCCGAGTCCCAGTCCGACTCCCAGTCCGAAAAGGCGACACGAGGCCGATGGCATGTCGAAACATGCTGCCAGTATTCGTAGTTCAGATGTTGAATGCTGCGGACACTGGCAAGCACAGCGCTTCCATTTTATCTCTGAAAGCTAGTGACAGCATCACGTTACGGTATTAGTTTCAGTTCGACGGTGAACGCCAACATCTACGGACCGTGTATCGCATCGCTTACATCTTTACATCTTTACATTTGTGTTGTGCTAGTACTACGTGAGTGTGCTGACAACTTATGTCTGTGGCTCAGCCTGCCTGCCTGCCTGTCTGTCTGTCTGTCCAGCCTGGGCGTGCGTGCGTGCGTGCGTGTGTGTGCGAGTGTGTGTGTCACATTCATTGGTGTTAATTGTGCGTGCAAACTTGGCCAAGCCACATAAATAATCTACTATTCTCCACTCCACTCCACTGCAATCCAATCCACTCCACTCCCCTACACTCCCCTCCACTCACATGCCAATTGTAGCCTGTGGCAGTGAAGCTGCTCGTTTTGCTTTGTTATTTATCAATAAATTATAAACGTGCTAATGCCAATTGACAGCTGCCGCCGAATAAAAAAGGGAGAAAAAGTATAAAAATACACATACACACATTTAAATATATATGTAGATATATACATATACTATATATGTATTTGAAGGATGTGCGGCAGTTCACTTCTTAGCCATGAATAAAATATCAAAAGCTTTTTGGTAAATTTTCCACTAAAACGCCAGCGTCACGTTGTCTCTGGCGACTGACGGCTTTTCTCAGCTCTGCCTGTGTCTGCATTGTCTTATTTTTCACGTTTTTATCATCAACAAATAAGGAATTCTCTGGTGTATACATAGAGTGCTGTAGTTGTGCCTCAGTAATTCGCATGCCACATTTCAATATTATCCTTTTGGCATTTATTAAATATTCAGCGTTTATACGCATCCCTTCATTCCTGCAAATCTGTGCCCAGGCATGTGGTCCCTCTGCTTTGTGCCGCTGAAGCGAATGACTTTGATGTTTACAATGTTGCGGCTGCTTAGACGCTGCATGCCACACAGACCTTATGTATATTGACACTGTGGCCACACACAGACAATTTTGGTGTTTGAGCGCCAAAGGCAAACAAATATCAGCGTCAGCGCCAAATTTGTGCCACGGGGCTCAGCCTAAGTCCCAGCCTCATTCTGAATCACAATTTGCATCAAAACCACACAGAGTCAGAGTCAGATTCGGATTCAGAATCAGTATCAGAATCAAAATCGAAGTCGAAGACAGGGCATGTTTATTTAATTGTACGCAAAGCAACTATTAAGTGCTGTACGTGACTGTGAGCATTGCTGGCTTATTTATTGTAATAGTATGCCAACAATGCTGTCATTAGAATTAATCAAGCTAATCAAGCAAATCAAGGCACATTAGAAGCCACAGCAATATCAACAGAGCCGTCTCCTACATGCGTAATTATGTGTAATTATCTGTCTGTTGCTGCAACTTGACTAACTGCCCGCTTATTAAATATGTATGTTGTGGTTGTTTTTGCTCTTCTGCACATCTTTATGGCCATTTATTTTTGTTGCCCGAAATAAAAATAAATATAAAAATAAAAATACAAGTATATACTTATAAATAGGCAGCTGTCTGACCTACAGCCACAGCCATTGACACTGACAGCAGCTGCAAGAAATCGCAGACAAAATTAAATGAAAAACGAAACCAAAACAACAACAACAACGACAAGAAAAAAAAATAAGAAAAACGAAAAGAAAAATGAGAGACAAAGCAGATAAAAAATGTTAAGTACTGGAGCACACGCACACAAAGTCATTATACTTATTATCACACCTGTCTGGCTGTCTGTCCGCCTGCCAGTCGCATCTATGTCGGCGGCAACATCAGTGCCGTAACACTTTCTGGGCGCGCTTGTGGCGACATTAGAGCTCTTTCGATGCCCACGCCGCCACGCCCCCATCCCCTCTACCCCGCCCCCCGACATTGACGCCCGCGCATTAGGCCGCCAGCTGAACAAAGCAAATGACAAACACAAGTATTTCTCTGGGCCGCATTCCTTTTAGCGTAGGCTTTTTCTTTTTTCGCCCCTTCTTCTTTTTTAATTTTTATGCGTACTTTCCTGCATACTTGCGAGTGAGCAGATAAATGGCAAAGCAAAATTAAAGCAAGCACGCGCATCTACAACAACAGCAGCAGCAGCAGCAACAACAAATAAACAAACAGCGAATATAGCAGCACCAACAACAAAAACAACAAAAGTTATATTAAAACGTTGTCGTGGGACGAACTTAAAACGAAGTGCGTGGACGGAAATAGCAAGGGAACTGGCAGTCAGAGAAGTGGAGATAGGAAGACAGGAAGACAGGAATCCAGGGCGCTATAGAAACGTTAAACACGCTGCTCAGCAGGTTGCGTTTATTCTACATCAAGGTAACTTCATTTACGTCCAGACGCAGTTGAAATAAACGACTTCACGACGCTGGCGGATTTGCTGAAAAGTAAGTTAAGTACATGCCACGCTTTAACATTCCACAGTTTTACTTTTTTCTTTCCTCTGCTGACTTCACTCATTAGCGCAAGCTGTAGAGTGAAATGTGGCCAAGGAGGTAATGTCTCAAGACATGCCAACCAACTAACTGGCTAACTTCCACAGCTACCGCTAGTGGCATCGCACTCGCCATGTCGCCACTTGGTCGCCCTTTTGGCATTGTCTATGCAGGCGCTTTGCGTCGCCCCCACTTCCTGTCAGCCCCGTTGCGCCGGATGTGCACAGTTCAGCATATTGGCGCCACATTTATGGCTCAATGGGGCGGCTGTTTTAGTTCACAGCCCAGCCACCCACTTCAACCGGGCACATTATATACTCTTAGGGAACGGTTTGGAGTCGGAAAAAATTCAATTCGCAGTAAATCTATTAATACTCATAGCTTGTAATGCTGAAAATGACTCCAGAATATACAATATTTCATTTATCAGTTATTAAAGTTATGTATTCATATCTACTTAAATAATATTAAAAGAGAAATGCTGAGCATGTTTTGTATATTGGCCATTTTTGAAACTCTGATTTTATTCATAAAGAGTATAGTTAATGAATTCGATTTTAAGCCGATTTCAAAAAAGGAGCACGTTCTCAATTCTGTATGTATTTTTTTTTTTTTATTTATGCTGCCTAAGAACTTTCGACTGGATAAAACAATTTTGATGATTCTTATTTTATTTGAAAGCTGGCGCTTCCCATATGTTCCCATTTCAATTTGGTCCAGTTCTGACAATGACATCCATAAGAAAACCATATAAGCCTTAAATTTGCATTGTCGTGGATGAACAAAGAGTAAATCGAGCATTAACGTTTATTTCCAATAACCAGCTTTACAGAGGTGTTCCGGTGATTTTTGAAACTGCCTAAAAAATACCTTATTTAGTGCAAATATCTGAAAATTCTATTCCTGAACAGGATGCTCCTTTTACTCTACTTACTTAGCTGTTAAGTAGAATTACTTTTCCTTCTCTCCTTACTTTTTTTTAGGCTGTTAGGTCTACTATATAATGTCTCTGACCACATATGGCTGTAAGTCGGGGCATTGCTGGCCAAATGGCAAATAAAATTCCCCCAACGGTAGTTTTTTCTTAGGCTTTCTTATATTTTAAGTTGAAATTATAACGTTGTATTATTAAATATCTTTATTTTATTTTAAAATATTATATTATAATATAAATCATAGTTTTTGTATATGTATCGACGGCACTATATGGTGAGTTACTAAATAAATAAAAATGTGAAACATTATGTCACTTTAAATGACAACAAGGGAATATTACCCAGATCATTTAATCGAGGTGATTTACGATCTAATTTATCTCGAGGTAAGCAATGAACTGGGATAGCGGATGTTGCTTGTGCAGCATTCATTGTATTAAATCCGCAATGGTTTTTTTATGTTTAAGTTTTACTTGTAAAAAAAATATGTACGTGGATTCATTATTATATTTCCGTTCAGTTTGGATAAATCTCATGTTTTTTGAACTAAATATGCTAGTTAAGTGGTGGCTAAAATTGGCAATATTTTTATTAGCTTTCGCTAAATCTTGTTCATATTTTGACTTCCTCGGAAAGCATTATTTTCCTAAGCGACATAAGCGCCTTTTGATTAATCAAAATCTTAAACTCTCCCGAAAGTCAGAAACAAATATTCAAGAATTGAAAATATATTATGTGGTATGTCGATGTTACGCATACGACGTGTAGTCGGCGTTTATACAAAATATTTATTTAATGCACTTCGCTTAGCACAGTTACGTAAATCGTTTTTATTTTAGTTTAGTTTGTTGTTATTTTATTGTGCGAACCTAATGAACTTGCGACACAAATTTGTTGCCAAAAAAAAAAAACAGCCAAGTTAGCCGAAAAATTGTGTCAATGAACTGAGGCCGAGGCACACTGCCAGACTTTTTACATTTTTTGTTGCATACTTTGCTGCTGAGTTTTTAAATTTAAACGGCGGAAAGTTTTGCAATGGAGAGACAAGACGCTGAGACAAAGTAAGGCGCGCTGTGGTGCTGTGGAATGCGAAATGGCGTTGATGGTTAGTGGTGGGCACACAAATACTCGTATACAAATTCACGATTACTTGCGTAAATGCACTTTGCTTGTTCGCAGGCAATTACCTTAAATGTGCGGTGAACATCGCGCACACGTGCAGCTGCTGTGGCTGGAACCCAAATCGTCCACAAATCAGCAAAGCCGCACAATAACAGTTGATGCATGAATGCTCCTGCAAAAATGACACGAGGGTGTGAGATGCATTAGGTTGGCATATGCGCGTAACTGTCGCCAAGCGGAAATGGGGTGAATGGGGTGGCGTGTCTACGTATTTCGCATTTAAGCTGCAATTGAAAACTGTACATTTATGGATATTAAAATATTTTTACCTTTATGTGCTCACACATGCCTGCCTGCACATTTGTCGGGGCACAAACCAAAAACTGTCACACAACCATATGCCACGTCCAGCACATGTCCTTGCCGCCAAAGGATTTATGGCTATGCCCAGGGCCAAGCCTTTTTGCAGCATATGCAGCACTCATAAAATTTTTTATATAGTTTAGAAATATACACTCAACGTCAAAAATGAAAACTGTGCGTTATTAAAAACAATCAAAAAGGATTTACGTTGTTGTTAATTTTCTTTTGAATTTATTTGCTGACTCTTGCTCTAAAAGCATAAATAAATAGGTTTCGTTCCTGAAATAATCTTATACTTGTAAGTCTAGATATTGTAAACTACAAGCATAGAGACCACTCTGAAATGCTTTGCGTTTAAAGTAAGGAAGATTTACGAATGCTTGATAAAAAGCCCCAGCAGTAAATTGTGTATTGTAAATAAAGAGAACTTTTGAGTTCCTGCTTATCGTTAATAGATATTATTGTAATTAGTTTATTAGATATTATTGTAATTTGTTTGCTTTCCAAGTTCTTTGACAATATAGATACATAATTTATTGGGCCTGGTATAGCTCAACGAGCTAGCAGGAATTCCACACTGTGCGTTCGTTCTTAGGTAGGCATTCAGTTTGAATCACCGCATTGTTTTGGCCAAAACTGCAGGCTGATTAGCAACATAATAATACGAAAATAAATAATAATTTGTATTTTAATTTTGCAAGAACCGAGTATAAGATAAGCGCCCAACAAAACCTCAGACCTTCATATGAGCAGTTGTTCTTGAATAATGGCAGCAAAGCTTTTTCTTCCTGTGTGTACATATGTACATAGTGGCATGTGGCATATTTTTGCACCGCAAAACAGACGGCAGCCTGTAAATTTATGTTTTGCCAGAGACAAATAATTTTCTCTGATGCTAAATGCATAAAATGTTGCCTACTTTCCGGCTGGCCGTATAATGCATTTTGAATTGTGGCCACAGAACAGATGCCACTGCTGTTGAATTTGCCAGCATCTATGTGCATCCTAGCGCACAAGTGCACTCAATTTAGCAAATATAATTTTGTGCAGCGCGTTAAGCTGGTAAGCTGGGAAGGGAGAAGCGAGCCCTCAACCATTTTTAATACACAACATTAAATAAAAAGCAACCAAATAAAATTATGTTTTTCCTTGGCTTACAACGACGGGCGCCACTCGACAAGCATCGAGCACTTGAAGGCAGCAGCTGTGTGTGAGTGCTTCAAGTATATACATATGTATATACACGTACACAGTTGTGTATGCGTTTGTTTGGGTGCTCTTCAATGTGTGTGTTTCATGCCTCTAAAACTTACGTTGCAACAGAAACATTACACACACACACACCGACACATTTGCAAGCACATACTTAAAATTATGTTTGCTACTTGCTTGTTTTGTTGCTACTTTCAGCTACTTTGAACGGCATAAAGTACAACATACTCGTATACTTGTATATATAGTATATGTATATATGTATAATACTTGCTGTTACAACAAATTCAAAAGACGTTGGGAATGACGAAAAGCAGAGCGCAAAAATACGCGTTGAGCAGTTAGCTACATACATACATATATATATGTATATATATATATATATATATATATATATGATTATATTTATATAGAATATAAGTTTTGAAGCATAAGAAAGAGCCAAATAAAATGCTTAAGGGCAACTTACAAGTAAAATGTGTGTGTGTGTTGTCGTAAATAAAGCAAGCGCTCACACACTCATATCCGCCTGCACTCGTGCAGCAACACATGTGGCAAGGCACATACTTACATACATAGACACATATAGCCGCACACGAGCAGCAAATGTTATCACTTCGTGTTTATCGTGGCGTATCGCAGGCAAACCGAAGGGATATGCGACAGTTTTCATTGTGCCAAATTGTTAGTGCTAAGCGCCTTTTGCCTCTTTTCTTCTCTCTCTCTCTCTCTCTCCTTCACATCGCCCCTTCTAGTCTCCTTGGTGCTGTTTATGTCGCCCATGTTGTTGTTGTCGTGGTCGCCGACGCTTTGCTGTTATTGTTCTTGGCATTATCATTGTGTGGAATCGAGCGAGTTGACTTTAGTCGCATTTTTATTCCGCAGCTAAAGTTTTCTGCTTGTTGTTTGGTGTGCCACGCAAAAATTTAATGCTTTGCAGGCGTCTAGCTGTCACGACTGGCGCCGAAGTTTTCCAGCGTGTGGCTCTTAGATCGCATTTTGAAGAGCAGTGTGTGCGCTTATGTGTTTGTGTCTGAATTGATTGATAAGCTTTTTGTGAGCAAGACAAAAAAAAAGAAGAAGAAAAAACGAAGACAAAAGTAAAAAGAATAAGAATAAACAACGGGCACACATTTTATGATGTTTACGCCATACAACGTTGGCTTCTATTTAAAGATTACGCATACGCCACATTGTGCAGCTGTTGGCTTTTGAGCGCGTAAATCTTTAAGCTGCCACAAAGCGGCAACGCATTAGACATAAAGTTTGCACATAAAATGCCAATACAAGCCAACAACAACCACAACAACAGCAATGAAA